TTTTTTTTGACTAAAATAGCCAATAAAGATAAATAGTCAATAAGGCAAAATGTCACATTCAAATCATAATCATTTCATTTTTTTCTCCTACAACCCAAAAACAAAAAAAATAATTATTATCTTCCAAAACACTACTTCTTTAGCCAGATTAAAAAAACCAAAAAGTCAAAAACCAACTAAAAGTCCAGTGAAGGTCCAGCGATAAATGTCGGTGCCCAAAAAAAAAGGACAGGCTACGGTGCCAACCGTCTCGCAGTATAAGAAGAGACTTGGGAACTCGCACTAGCGATCACAGAATGCCGGGAGGACAGAATCACAGTGAGAAGAGTCCTAGAGAACCCCGAGGACTAAAGGTGTGATGCCCCGAATCTACACTATTGATTGCAGTCAAGGGAGAGTCACTAATGAGTCCTATGGTCAATAATCAAGTAAAAGCCCAGATCGCCAGAGGAGTCAAATTAGCCTCCCTTCTAAGTCCGGCTTTCTTAGGCAGCGCACTACCCTTTTGACAGATCTTAAAAGGTATTGACACAAGGTAAGCAACGATAAGGTTCAAACACATAAATATTAGAATATAAGTACATAACAACCACGAATATCCTTAATTTCAAAAGCTTGTTCTATTACATTACATCCCAAAAAGAAAATTTAAATCTTCATATGAGCCTTACAAAATATCAAAAGAAATTTCTAACTTTCCTAAGGTAGCCAAAAGTCTTCGAAGGTTTCAGGCTCGTTGTTTCCAGCTATAAGCTCCTCTTTAGCACCTGGCATGATACGCAGTGAGCTTTGAATGCCTAGTAAACACACACACACCCCGTCTATTTTTTCCAGTCCAATACACAATCACAAATATAACCTCAAGTAATAAAGCATGATACTCAACTAAATAAACAAAGGGTTACAAGTTAGATGTTAGTAAACTATAAATCTCTCAAAGAGATTTCGTCCTTCCAACCACAAGAATCGGACGCAGATTATTCGGTATGCCCCCTCTTTTGCTGCTTTGTTACAGAACTAACCTCGAATGCCTACCAATGGTTATATACCGCGTAGCGCCAACCGCAGGGCCTCAAAAGAGACGGTAATAATGGGCCTTGCCCAAATCCCTCCTCATACCAAACTACCTAGGGTCCGAATACAACCGCTCCGTTCAAGGGTTTCGAAAACCACTTGCACAAGACTTTAACTTCCAAATAGGGAACGCATCCTAACAATCCATACATCATACATTATCATCTTTTCATTTCTCAAGTGATCAAAAACCCAATACCATCCCAATTACGTTTTCCGTGGAGTTAAATGTTTTAATTCAAGGTTAGACCAACTTAACAAGATAATAATATCCACATAAGCATGCATCATTAAGATGAAGAAGATAAAGAACATAACCATAACATGTACAATATGATGCCAAGATATGATCATAAGCTAATAAGCATTTTCATGAACACAAGAGTATAAAACACCCATGCATAACAGAATTTACAGATTCAATATCACATAAGGATTAGAATGAAAAGGACTATTTAAGATTTTTCACCAGACTCGGTCTTCCTATGGCTCGTAGACAATTTAATCTAGTTTCCAGAACACATTTCGGAAATGGGATAGGTTTTCTAAATTTTAAGTTATTTAGAAAACACTCCAGCGCTGTCCAGATTCGTCGACCGTTACGAAAATTTAATTTTCTTACAAACCGCTCGCTGTTTTTCAATGAAACCAATTTTATTTGAAATCTAACTCCTTAAGGAAGATTTTGACATAAAATAGAGGTCAAGAATAATTTTCTACATTTTTATAGAAACTTTGAAAGTTGGCTGCAAAAACAGATTCTATGGCACAATACCCAAAACAAGAAGATTTGTGGGAAAAGGGATCCATTACGGGAAAATTTTCATTTCTTTTGTGATGAAAACATGCTAACTAACATATATTAAACTCAGAAAATTTTCTTGAAGGTGTGCCTTTGGAAAGTTTGAGAGATTGGTATGAAAATGATAGTTTTGTACCGAAATGAGAAAAAATACAAGAGAGATAGAATCATGGCTCAACTCTTATCATTTTTAAGACAAGTATATCATCAATAACACATCTGAAAGCAATGTCTAGAACCCTTAAGAACATGTATTTGAAAACGGAAAATGAAAGAGAAGGTTGTGTTGTGGCTTACTTGCTAGGCTTGAACAAGATGGCTCTCCTCTTCCTTCCTCTTCCCCACAAGACTTCTCTCTTGCTCTCATTTCTCTCCTTTAGGCTGAATGTGTGTGTGAGTGTGTTGTTTGTGTTTGCCAAGCTAGGGGGTGGTGGTATTTATAGGCAAATTTTGGTGTAAAAAAACATAAATGCCCACTAATTGGAATTGGATGGAAAAGTTAGGATTTACTTGGAATCTAATGGAATATGGAGTGATTAGGGAACTTAATCATGGGATTAGACAATATCTAGTTGGTCTTAAGTTGAAATGAAACTAGTATTGGGAACAAAACCCTAGGTTTAGGGGTACTAGGTGCTAGGATCATAATTGTAATTCTTGAAAATAGGCCCCTCACATTTTCCTACGGTGGCCGGCCATTGGGAAGGGAGATGGAGCCTTTTTTCATTCAATTTAGGTACTAGGGACACATTTCCCAATGTTTATATATATATATATGTAGATCTCAAATTGATTGATGGTACCTATAGTCTAAAAGTACATGTACTAGTTTTGGAAAAAAATTTGAAATTAATAAAAGAAGTGAGGACTTGGAATTAAATTCATGTATTGGAACCTTACTTATGTAGGATTAAATTAAATTAAGCTAAGGAACCTAATTTGGCTAGGATATTCCTGTTTCGATAAAAAAAAATGCTAACCGA